TCAGTGTGTAAAGTGTGGGCCGCACGGACATATCATTCTTAACCACACACAAAAATGATAGCAGTAGCAGCCAAAGGTTGGTGCATAAAGTATAAATACAGACAACATGAAAATCTTTTGGGTGGTCTCCAAAACCAACATCTCAGCATACTGAGAGAAGGCTGTCAGTCATGCAAATGTTAGGTTATACCTAATTTATACTAAGCAAAATAAAAAAACAATAACCTATTAAAACATACTTATGATCCATACTGTGACAATTCTGCTTTCATAAATTGCATGTTTTGACTGCAATAAATTGGAAGCACGTGTCAAGTAAAAATTATAGGAGGCCACTGTTTTGGACTAAGCTTCTGCACTAGGCCCCAACAGACCAGACTAAAAATCAAAATGGAGTCACCCTAGCTAAAGTTCTGTGTCACCAAACACATTGTCGTCTGACCTTCAGAGATATCAGGAGATAGAGACAGCCAATTTCCCAAACAGGACAGTTAAAATCTTCAATAGGGCATGATAAAAAATGAAGTTCCCTCTGCTTCAACCCTTACACAAAGAAGTAACCCGAAGCAACCTGATGCTAAGCAATCAGTTATTTTTTCATTGTTCATCTCCCTGTCCCCAGCTTACAAGGAAAGTAACTTTGAAATGACCAATCTCCCTTTTGTTTTGTTTCTGCCTTCTTAGCGCTTTTTCTATCTATAAAGCCAACAACCTCTTTTGCTCAGCTCATTGGAACTTATTCTATTTTATGGTTGAATTGTTGCCATTTTCTAGAATTGCAAATAAAGCCAGCTGAGATCTTTAAACTAACTTTGTTGCAATTTTGTCCTTTTGACATGACAGGTAAGAAAAGAATTAACTTTTCCTCAAAAGAGAAAGAAAAGTTACTATTTCTTTAAGCAGTAACTGATGGGTTATAGTTCTTCTGTTAATATTCCATTGTATGGATATACCACATTTCGTTTATCCATTCATCAGTTGATGAACAGTTTGAATGCTTTCACTTTTTGGCTATTATGAATAATGCTGCTATGAACATTTGTGTACAAGTTTCTTTATAGACATATGTTTTCATTTTTCTCTATCTCACATAATTTCAGGGTCATATGGTAATTCTGTTTAACCTTTGAGGAACTACCAGACTGTTTTCCAAAGTAACTCCACTATTTTACATATGCAGCAATGTATGAGATACCCTATTTCTCAGCATCCTCATCAACGCTTGTTATTATCTGTCTTTTTGATTCTAGCCCTCCTAGTGGGTATGAAGCAGTATCACCAGTTGATTTCCCTAATGGCAAAAGATGTTGAGAATGATGTGCGTAATGGCCCTTTGGTCCATCTCCGTTGAAGAAATGTCTACTCGCATCCTTTCCCCATTTTTTGAGTTATTTATCTTTTTATTAGTAAGTTGTAAGAGTACATTATAAATTCTAAATAAAAGTACCTTACCAGATATGTGATTTGAAAATATATTTTTCCATTCTGTGGGTCGTCTCCACTTCGTTTTTATTATTATTATTATTTTTTTTTTTAGGATGACCAGTAAGGGGACCTTAACCCTTGACTTGGTATTGTCAGCACCACGCTCTTCCAAGTGAGCCAACCAGCCATCCCTATATAGGGATCCGAACCCGTGGCCTTGGTGTTATCAGCACCACACTTCTCCCAAGTGGGTACTGAGCTGTGGGCTGTCCCTGTCTTCACTTTTTTTTGAATTGATTATTTTTTTTATTTATTTATTTATTTATTTTTTGTCTTTTGTCTTTTTCCGTGTCCGGCAACGGATCGCAACCCTCAGTGTTGCCCCCGTACCGGACCGGGGACCGGCAACGGGATTGCAACCCTCGGCGTTGCTCCCACG